TTATCGGCACAAACAACCTGAGAAAGGTGAGAGTTAATGTCACTGCGTTTTTTCTCCTTCTAGAAGAAAGAGCTAACTAAATCTTAAGGAAAGCTATATCCTTTTTCAGCCCCCATTTCCTGTTTAGGGAGTAACATTGCTTTTTAAACTAAAAACTACCCAAGCAAACAACCAATTGGTTACAAAAATATCTCTGCTTGTGTGATATTGTGCTGGCCTAGAGCCAGAACCTGAGCAAAACCGTTTTTTAAATACGTTGAAATGGCTGCCCCATTCTCCTCACAATAACTACTGTCCTTGGCCTCTGTAAATAGAACTACTAGTTTGTTCTGCAAAACTATGTAAAGCTGCTTACCTTTTCTTATCAGTAACTGCTAAAATCTGTGACTTCTATCACCACCCAGACGATGTGTAAATAAATGTATATCTTGACTTCTGTAAACCACTGAAGTAACAAACAGAATGACAAAAGTCCCCTGGCCCTTGGAATGTCCGGAGACCCCCGCCCTTGTCTCCACCCAGGAGGGGAATCACAGAATCCCCTAGCCCTTGGAATGTCTGAAACCTTTTCATCCCCATCCCTGCCCCTCACCCCCACTCCCAAGGTGGTTTTTCGGGTATAAAAAATCGTGGCACCCTCCTTTTGGCACCACAGGTTGGAGAGACGTGAGTCCTCTGTGGTCGCCGGCATAATAAATGACCCTACAATCTGGCATACTTTTGTCTTGGTGATAACTTTCTACACTCGGTCCAATACAACACTTGTTTTATTTTGAAATTTTATTTTATTTTATTTCTTCCACCGTGTCACCCATGCTAGAGTGCAGTGACATGACCATAGCTCGCTGCAGCCCTCCATGCTCAAGTGATCATCCTCCCTTAGCCTCCCGAGTAGCTGGGACTATGGGTGTACACCACCATATCTGGCTAATTTTCAAAACTGTTGAAGAGATGGAGTCTTGCCATGTTGCCCAGGCTGGTCTCAAACTCCTGGGCTCAAGCAATCCTCCCAGTTCAGCCTCACAAAGTGCTGGGATTACTATTTTGAGGTATAATTGATGTACCATAGGCTGTACATATTTAAAATGTACAATTTGTTGGCCGGGCGTGGTGGCTCAAGCCTGTAATCCCAGCACTTTGGGAGGCCGAGGCGGGTGGATCACGAGGTCAAGAGATCGAGACCATCCTGGTCAACATGGTGAAACCCCGTCTCTACTAAAATTACAAAAAATTAGCTGGGCATGGTGGCGCGTGCCTGTAATCCCAGCTACTCAGGAGGCTGAGGCAGGAGAATTGCCTGAACCCAGGAGGCGGAGGTTGCGGTGAGCCGAGATCGCGCCATTGCACTCCAGCCTGGGTAACAAGAGCGAAACTCCATCTCAAAAAAAAAATAAAAAATAAAAAAATAAATAAATAAATAAAATGTACAATTTGTTAAGTTTTAACACCCATAACCACAATTGAGATAATAAACATATATATCACCCCAAAAAGTTTCCTCATGTCTCTTTGTTAATGGTGGAGGGTTTCCAGGTTCTTGGCATCTTGAACAAACAACTGGACAGAATGCACAAAGAAAGGAAGGAATGAAGGGTTTCATTGGAAATGAAAGTACACTCCACAGTATGTGAGCAGGCCTGAGCACAGGGACTCAGAGTCCCTATTATAGATTTATTGGGAGTTTAAATACCCTCTACTTAGGGTACGCCTTATGTAAATGAAGAGGATGAAGTGAAAGTACAAGGTCATTTACTTGGCTTATGCCCTGTGGAGAGGCTATTTCCTGTCATAGCTGACGTGTGAATTGGTCTTCTGTTCCCTGCCTCCAGACCCTATTTTCCTGCTTTGTCTCCCCATTGAGAGATGTGATCCCCATAAATCTTTATGGGAGGCAGAGGGACTGATAGTCTTTTATCTCTAACTACTTCATTCTGGCTTAGGGAGTAGTCCTCACCTATTGGAGATCACAGGATTTGCCCTGCTCTGTCTAGTGGGGGCAAGGTAGCTTCTTGATGGCCAGGGGTGGTGTCTTCACCTGAAACTGTCTGGAACCTTTGTTGCATCATCATCTGAGGCTTGATGGTCTACAGACAAGAGGAAATGATTTTGATTAAAAGATTTAATGGGGACTTTAGGGAGTGGATAACTATGCCATCAGAGATGTTTGTTGTAGAGTTTTGCTGGAGAAAACAAAACGTGATCTGCTCTAGAATATGTTTCCTTAAAGTCTTAGCACAAGCAACTCCATTTTGGTTTGGTTTGGTTTGGTGGGGTCTAGTGCATGAGTTTAGTCCAAAACAATGGCGTTCCAAAATCTTGTGAAAAAAATTCCCCCTTTTTGATCAGGTTCTCACTTAGGTGAGAGCATGACCAAAACTTAGGGTCTTAGCACCACTCTCAGTTACCGTCATTTTGGGTTTCCGGTCTCAGTACATTCTTTATAGGTTATGGTGTTCTCATGGTTGCACAGTTCTTTGAGCTTTTGTCATTACAGTTAAAGAGAGATCATTTGACATTCTAGAAGTGGCTGCGTGCAAACATTTAAAACCTTTGAGAGAATATAGTGCGCCAGGGAGACTATTATTCTAACTATTGGGAGGATAGCACCAAGAGTTCAGAGTATGCTCCTAAACCCAAGGCCCCATAAACCAAACCTCCTAAAATCGAACAGATCAAAGAATGAGCCAAAGAGTTTAGTCACTTAACTAAGCAATTTCTTCATTAATCTCCTACCACTGAGTTTCTATGGTCTTCATTTGATGTGTTTCTCCATAGGCCACAAGTGCCAGCAGCTACACAGGCACTTTTCTGTTTAGCCAATCCTATTATTTAACATAACTTTCACAAGAGAATTTAAAGTCTGTTGTGTAACGATAGACTTTATAGTAGAATTTGCTACAGAGCCTATCATGAGGGATTTATTTATTTATTTATTGAGACCGAATCTCGCTGTATCACCTAGGCTGGAGTGCAGTGGCATGGTCTTGGCTCACTGCAACCTCTGCCTCCCAAGTTCAAGTGATTCTCCTGCCTCAGTTTCCTGAGTAACTGGGATTACAGGTTCTTGACACCATGCCCAGCTAATTTTTGTATTTTTAGTAGAGACGGGGTTTCACTATGTTGGCCGTGCTATGTTGAACACCTGACCTCAGGTGATCCGCCTCCCTCAGCTTCCTAAAGTGCTGTGATTACAGGCGTGAGCCACCGTGCCCAGCCAGCAAGGGATACATTTCTAATCATGGCTTCTTTTACTTTAAACCATGGTAAAAGGACCTAACAAATGATGCCCTTCTAGAAGAGTGACAGGCTCCTGGCAATGTTCTCTTTAACCCATGATGTGGATTAGAGGAGCGAACCAATGTTTTGTTTTTGACTGATTATGAAGCAACACATGTACCATTAAAGTTTCTTACTCACATTGGGCCTTTATCTTTTATCTATCAAAGTACAGGTTATTCATGTATAAGGCTGCCTGCAAATTCCTTCGCAAATAAAAGTATACCCCATAAGTGCACATAACAGACCCTTTTCCACTTTTATTGTTTGTAGAGGCATAAGCGAGAAAAATAATATTCAAAGACAAGAGTTTCATGATAGTAGAAGTCTTAATCTGTGAACTTGGGAAAAGCTGTTCACATCAAGGATGCCATTTTCTTCTTGGGAGAAATTTCCCTGGTTAGCTTTACCTCAACAGTTCCAGTGGGTGCAAGAGTTCCAAAAGTGTGGCAGGACCCTTCTCAGCTGCGAGGCCATAAACCCAAAGCCCAGAGTCCTAAAGTTTTGTTGTAGTGTGGATGACAAGGAACAGTCTTTCTCCAATGTTTCCAGAAGATTCAAACCATAAAAAACTTTCTTTACCTGGAGAAAATACACTGTAGCATAATAATCTACTATTATAACATCAGCCCTCTTGCATGGGAAAGCTTTTAACAACCAGGATGACAAATTGGAATTCAAATAACAATTGAATGTAATTCCTTTACAAAATGTTTAAATGGCCCACCAGGTGACCAAATGTATATGAAGCCTTGTCTTCCCAGGAATATGGGACTAAACATTGGTTATAAACTATTTTAAACAATTTCAGTGTCAGCTGGTTTAAGATGAAAATCTGATGAAGTATTTTCCTGATATTAATTAAATTTTTTTTTTTTGAACATAAACTCAAGATTTTATTGTCTTCATAAAAGATGACACTTAGAACTGGATCACTTGGCCCTTTCTCTTCTTATCTCCTCCCAATTCAAAATGCTTGCATCTTTTAATAGCCAGCATTCTCTTAGATCTGCAGTTGGGCTCAACGCACTCGAGCCTCAGCACAATCGTCTTTGGAGTTTTAGCCTTTTTCCGGAAAATCGGCTTAGTTTGCCCACCATAGCCACTCTGCTTCCTGTCATAACGCCGCTTTCCCTGGGCATACAGAGAATCCTTGCCCTTCTTGTACTGTGTCATTTTGTGGGGTTGGTGCTTGCCACACTTCTTACAGAAAGTCCGGCGGGTTTTAGGAACGTTCACCATTTCTGCGTGAGCGCTACCGGCACGGAAAGAAAGAGGCCGGACCAGAAACGGTATTAATTAAATTTTTTTTTGTTTTACTTGGGTTAGTAGCTTTATACAAGGAAATTTCATGCAAAGCAATGAAAAACAACCACCAGGGCTGATACCAACTACTAAAACTGTTAAAAATCAGAAGCAAAAATAATATGGATTTCAGGCATTCCCAAGTTATAAATGGTTTCTGCATGCTTGAAAATAAAAACAAACTTTCCTATAGAAATATCAGTAAGTCTAGCAAAGAAATAACACATCCTGGGCATGTCACAGCCTGTCTTAAATAAGGGGAAAACATGAGAGCACTAGTAGGATGCAAGTAAAGGGTGCTTTGCTTCACTACTGATGGAAGCTCAGAGGCTTGGTTCTTCCCTGCCCCTCGCATCCCGCTGAAGGCAGGCCAAGAAGAGCGGAGCCCTGGCCTCTGGGTTTCCGGAACTACAATTCCCAGGATGCCTCGGCGCAGGCTCCGGGCGGGTGCAGGCTGGGCTCAGCTCTGCTGGACCTGCGCTGGGGGACTCTAGCCTCGCTGCGCTCATGGCTTCTCCTAGCAAGGCAGCGATCGTTCCCGGGAACGGAGGCGGGGATGTGACCACGCACGGCTGGTATGGCTGGGTGAAAAAGGAACTGGAGAAGGTAAGCACCAAACGCCTCGCTGCTCGGAGAAGTCAGCCTGCAGGGGGAGATGGCGGGAGAGGACGCAGGACTGAAGTTTGAACGTGCGTCTAATGCCCTCTAGCAAAGCCCTGTGTTTTCCTTCCTGTCCCCCGCTGCCCTCTCAAACTCGGAGCCAGTGGTCGAATTTTGGTTGGCAAAACCGCCTGGAAGACTTCTCTGAGGGCTCAGCCGTTAGAGTCAAAGGAACCCCTTTCTTTGAACTGCAGCGGCTGAACTCCCGAGCCCCGCCCCCCATATCTGCTGCTGGATCAGATTTGGGACTTCCCAGATAATTTTACATCTTCACTGCTCCCCACTTCGGATTTTAAAAAATTAAATATGCAATACTTAATATATGCAAAGGATAATACATAACATGCGCCTACATTATCAGGCATAATGTAATGAATTACCAAACTAAAATCTGGGACATTGCCTATACATTATCTTCCAAACGACCCGTATATCCACCTATCTCAGTCCCCTGCCATCCTGAAATTTTTTCATCTGCTTCTCTTTTTAAAATTAAAGTACTTTTCAACCTATGAATATACCGTTTAAACAAGGCTGTTCAGTTTGGCTTCTTGGTGAACTTTATAAAAATGGTATCTTACTGTAGGCTGCCCTGTGCCATTTGATTTTTATTTTTTAACCCTCTTCTGTAACGAGGCGGTAAGTTGGCTCCCTAGGTTGCCGTCCTCTAGAGCCAGTCTCCAGAATAGATTGCAGGGCTGTGGCTGAAAATCCTGCTCAGAGCTACAACCCCAAAGCTCAGGGCTGGAGCTTCTGAGAGGATGTATCTCCAACTTTCTGTATCACGTTCTTGTGCCACGTTTTACCTATTCCCTGGCACATAGTCTGTTTGCCTTCAGGTCAGTCTGTCTAGAACACATTTGTTCATGCCTCTCTATAGATGTAGGCCTGTAGAGGCAAATATAGAGTACAAATGCAGATATAGGTCTCTCTATAGAGATCAACGGAGCTCCGTAGATGTAGAACTACAGATGGAGTTTATGAGAAAGGATGGTCACTTAACCTTCATTTCATAACACAAGTTAATACTAAATTGAAAACGATCATATCAGGTGCCTCATTTCTTATCAGCAAAGTACTAGTTGTAATTAAGCTCTTTATTATAGCTTTTTCTCCTCCCTCATATCATAGATACCTGGTTTCCAGTGTTTGGCTAAAAACATGCCCGACCCAAGTAAGTTTTAAACTTGTTTTTAAACAGCCTCATCTTGTTGGGTTTTGATATTTTGTGGTAGAGAACAAGAATATAGTAGAGGAGAAACCAAAGATGCCTAAGAAAGAATAAGACATGCAGCTTGGGGAGGAGGGTGTAAACCAAAAGCCATAGAAAATTCTAATAAGGATCAGTAAAGCACGTGGGTTGGAAAAATTTAATTTTCAACTTTGTATCAACCTTATTTTCCCTTCTCTAAGTCTACAAATATTTTCAGGCAGAATTTGTGGGCATTATATTTGAGGCATAGGTATAAAACTTTACAGCATCTATTTGAGATTCTAATGTTTACAAATGTCATATTGCTACTTGTGTTCTGGGTATGCCTATGACTTACTCAGGAATCTCCTTTTTGGAAAGAATGAATAAATATGTGTGAATTTTAGAGAGAATGTTGCAAGAGTATTTCGTTGTTTTTTTTTTTTTTTTTTTTTGAGACAGAGTGTCACTCTGTTCCCCAGGCTGGAGTGCAGTGGCACTATCTCAACACACTGCAGCTTCTACCTCCGGGGTTCAAGTGATTCTCCTGCGTCAGCCTCCTGAGTAGCTGGGATTACAGGTGCGCACCACCATGCCTGGCTATTTTTTTTGTATTTTTAGTAGAGACAGGGTTTCACCATTTGGTCAGGCTGGTCTCGAACTCCTGACCTCAAATTGTCCACCTTGGCCTCCCAAAGTGCTGGGATTACAGGTGTGAGCCACTGCACCTAACCAAGAGCTTTTTTTTTTTTCTTTTTACATTTGAAAGTTTACAGTAAAGTTTCAGTTATATTTTATTCCTCAGTATTTTCTTACAAGAACATGGTGGAAAAAAAAAAAAGAAAAGAAAAACCATTTACCAGAACTGTGGACTTGGGTCTTTCAAGTAGTAATATATAAGTCTTTGGCTCTGTTAACACAGTCCTGTCTCCTGTTGTGGTCCTGCAGTTTTAAAAGTTGTGAATTGCTGAATAGTTGTCTGTTAGAAAGATGGGGCAACATGGGATTGAGACTGCCACTATCAAATGACAGACTTTTTCTCTATCCTGAACCTTAAGTTACAGCACGGGAGAGCATCTGGCTGCCGTTCATGGAGACAGAGCTGCACTGTGATGAGACGACCATCATCATTGGCCACAGTTCTGGGGCCATTGCGGCCATGAGGTACGATCTTTGTTAAACTGCTGTCCCCTTCGTGAACTCCGGCCGTGTTTGCTTGAGAAATACTTTGTGTATTTTTCTTAAATTTCTGTTGCAGAGGAAACAGTGCTGACCTCTAAAGTGGTAACTTAATCTGTCCTAATTCCTTCCTGGTTTTGCTAGTGGATTGAAAAAAAAAATCTGCCCTTATTGGGGTGCAGTGATCCTTTTAAAGCATAAGTGGCTGCAAACCCCAGTGGCTTCCCGTCAGTCAGCTCTGATTCTCTCTCTACAGACTCTCCTCTTCTCCCAGCCAGGTGAACTGACCTCATTGCAGGTCCTGGAACATGCCAAGTACACACCCATCTTGGCCTGCTCTCATCCTTCTACCTGGGACACTCTATCCCTAGACATCTGCATGGCTTTCTATTCCCCTTGAGGTCTCTGCTCAAATGTCTCCTTTTGGTGAGGCCTTCTCTAATCACTCCATGTGAAACAGCTTCCTCACTCTACTGGCTCTGTCCCCTTTATATCTTATTATCTCCAGCACTTTTCATCATCTGACATCCTGTTTATTTCTTGTCTGTCTCTTGCCAGTAGAATGTAGACTCCATGAAGCCCTCCCTTAAGGCTAAAGGGGAGATGTCATATTCTAATGAGAACAGTAGGGATGTGCCCATGAATCCTAAGGACTGGGGATTTGCAGGTGGGTAACACTGCAGACACAGTCTACCATATGCCAGGCTCTCTTCTAGGCAATGGGGTTTCAGTGCCAGCACTTTTCACCATCTGACATCCTATTTATTTCTTGTCTGTCTCCTGCCAGTAGAATGTAGACTCCATTGCAGTGAGCCGAGATCACGCCACTGCACTCCAGCCTGGCGCCTGGTGACAGAGCAAGACTCTGTCTTAAAAAAAAAAAAAAAAGAGAATGTAGACTCCATGAAGGTAGGGCTTCACAGAGGGGACAGCAGAAAAATAAACAGGATAGTTTATTTGTCTGTCTCTTGCCAATAGAATGTAGACTCCATGAAGCTCTGCCGTTAACCATATTTTAAGAGGCACTATGCAATACCAGAAATGTACCTTTGTTACCACACACTCCACATTACCTTGTATTATTCATTTTGTTGTCTTATGTACATTTCTTTCAATAAACTGTCAGCTCCTTAATAGGCATGAGTCCTATTGATCTTTGCGTTCCTGGTGCCCATTACAGTGCCTGGCAAGTGGACACCCAGCTAACCATTAGGTTTGTACAAAACTAATTTCCAAAGTATGAGTGAAATGTGACAAAATTAATGAATCTAGGTGCTTGTTCTTTCAATGTTTCTATAGGTTTGTTATTTTTCTTTTTTTTTTTTTTTTTTTTTTGGGGACGGAGTTTCTCTCGTTACCCAGGCTGGAGTGCAATGGCGCGATCTCGGCTCACCGCAACCTCCGCCTCCTGGGTTCAGGCAATTCTCCTGCCTCAGCCTCCTGAGTAGCTGGGATTACAGGCACGCGCCACCATGCCCAGCTAATTTTTTGCATTTTTAGTAGAGACAGGGTTTCACCGTGCTGACCAGGATGGTCTCGATCTCTTGACCTTGTGATCCACCCGCCTCGGCCTCCCAAAGTGCTGGGATTACAGGCTTGAGCCACCGCGCCTGGCCGGTTTGTTATTTTTCAAAATAAATGGGGAAAAAAATTTAGGCCCAAGTACAAAATACCAACCCTAACTCTTTCTTGGCACAAAGGCCTCTTGAAACTATTACTACTATGTGTCTTTCCTTATCCCGGTCCTTGCTGAGGGAGACTGCTGTCTGCAAATATTGTCATTGTGGTTTTTGCCATTAAAGGAGCCTCACTCTACTGGCTCCTATCCTCTTTATGTCTTATGAGCTGAGGCACTTTTCATCATCTGACATCCTGCTTATTTTGTGTCTGTCTCCTGCTTACTTTTAATGGCAAAAACTGCAATTACTTTTGCACCAACCTAAGCGTTAGCTGGGTGTCCACTTGCCAGGCACTGTAATGGGCACCAGGAACACAAAGATCAATAGGACTCATGCCTGCCCTTAAGGAGCTGACAGTTTATTGAAAGAAATGTACATAAGACAACACAAATGAATAATACAAGGCAATGTGGAGTGTGTGGTAACAAAGGTACATTTCTGGTATTGTACAGTTTCTTAAAATACAGTTCACAGACCAGTTGCATTAGAGTCATGCCTTAAAATGCAGATTCTAAGGCCTGAGTCTCAACTTTCTGAATCAGAGGCTCTGGGGCTTAGCCTGGGAATCTGCATGTTCACCAGCCAGGTGACACTGATGCATACTAAACATGGATGGATTGCACCTTTTTTATTTAATGGGAAAGGTTTGCAGAAGTTTGAAGTACCTTGAAAAATGAGTAGGAGCCCGGGCGTGGTGGCTCGCCCCTGTAATCCCAGCACTTTGGGAGGCCGAGGCGGGTGGATCCTTTGCAGTCAGGAGTTTGAGACCAGCCTGGCCAACATGGCAAAACCCAGTCTCTAATAAAAATACATTCCTGTAATCCCAGCTACTCAAGAGGCTAAGACAGGAGAATCGCTTGAACCCAGGAGGTGGAGGTTGCGGTGAGCCAAGATCGCGCCATTGCACTCCAGCCTGGTAACAAGAGGGAAACTCCGTCTCAAAAAAAAAAAAAAAATAAAAATAAATAAATAAATAAATAAATAAATAAATAAAAGAAAAAAGAAAAAAAAGAAATGAGTAGGAGCTCTTCCAGTAGCTACGGTTAGGCTTGTAGTTCTGCCGTTTCCTTGCTACTTTTCACATCAACCTCAACAGCAGATAGCACATGCTTTCTGCAGGTTACCTCAAATGAGTTTTTAAGTAGTTTATTGACTTTTTGGTGATCAGAGGTAACACGATATATTAGCTGACATCATTTTTCTCTCTCCAGGTATGCAGAAACACATCGAGTATATGCTATTGTATTAGTGTCTGCATACACATCAGACTTGGGGGACGAAAATGAGCGTGCAAGTGGTAAGTCTGAAGGTAGAAATTTGACAAAGCCTTTCACTAGACATGGGGCTGTCTGTTCAGGTTGCAGAAACAGTGCTGTCTTTCAGATAGGCTAAAAAACTCTAATAGCATATGAGAAAGATTTACCACCTATCTTGGGATATAAGTTCGCACTTTGATTTCTTCCCAAGCCGTAAGTCTAGAATTGAACCAGAGAGGCCTGGTTTTATTTGAACCATATACCACCTCTTCACAAGTAACTACGGTATCAGGCCCTACGGATTTGAAAACAAAGGAAGTGCTTCTAACTCACACTTAGGCACTGCTCCTTTGTGTCTCTATGTGGGTCTCCAGTAGGTATTTTAGAATATCTAGAAGGGAGATTATTCATGGGCACTGAAAGGTTATTTTTTTTCCCCATAGGATACTTCAACCGCCCCTGGCAATGGGAGAAGATCAAGGCCAACTGCCCTTACATTGTACAGTTTGGCTCCACTGATGACCCGTTCCTTCCCTGGAAGGAACAACAAGAAGTGGCCGATAGGTTGGAAACCAAATTGCACAAATTCACTGACCGTGGTCACTTTCAGAACACAGAATTTCATGAACTGATTACTGTGGTAAAGTCTTTGCTGAAAGTACCAGCATAGACTGGATGATTTCTGCTATTTCGCATCTCAATATAGGGGTAGAGTAATAATATCTACTATCAGCCGATTACTAGACACATGAAACATCCAGTTAAGTTCCAAAAGTGCCTGAAAAGCAAACACGTTTCAATCTAAGTTACACATGGCATTTCCATTTCCCACAGACTCTTAAAACTCCCCAAATTGCTGTGAACTACAGCAGTATTTTCCTCATTTGATAAGAAACATAAGGACAGCTTAACTACCCTTTTCTATCCAACGTAAGTCAGAAACAGAACCCAGGTTTCCTGATTCCCACTCCCGAGTAAAACTAAATAATAGGTTTTATCTACGTTGAAGGTATTGCATTCTTTTCCTCTTTGAAATCAAACTTTTCTATTTCACTGGGGAAAGAAAACATGACTGAAAGTCCAGAGTTTAGCTTAGAGCTCAAAATACTAGCTGCTGTTTCAAGCTGGCCCAGGGCCTTAAACCCAGACCTTTGACACTTGCCCCTGAGTTGTTCAGACATGTTGAGAGAGACCGAGACAGGAGTCTTCCAGAGTCAGGCAGGAAGGAGAAGCACAGCAATATACATACATAAATATACATACAACTAACTAGATTTGTTTAAGGCAAGAGTGGTGGGACCAAGGCCACGTGGAGAGCTCATGGCCTGTCTAAATTGTTGCCATGTGGAACTGGGGCAGTGTTGCCAGTTTTCTGATTTTGTGTGTCTGTATGTGGAAAAAATCTCCAAATTATGGTTTTAAAATTTGGGGAATATACATACACACACATACACATGCATACATACCTACATACACACAATCCATATACATATGGATTATGTTAGTTGGTAACAACAGTATATATCAAAAAATTTACAAACTGCAAGACAAATAAAATACAAGTCATCCATTCGTGACCATAGTCATAAGCAATAACCTGGCCAGGGGCTTTTAGATAATTGTGAAGTCTGAGAAAAGACAAAGATAACCAAAATGAACATAATGTCAAAGGACAAAATCATGGGGACAATTTGGATTCTGTTCTAAAGTCAAGTGTTTTTCAAAAGAACCTTTCCATACTTCATGTTCTGTTCTATAGAGTTAAACCTTTTAGCTTCTATGGTCCTTTAGATCTCTTCCTTGCACATTCCATTTTTCTTCTGATCATACTTCTTCAAAAAACCCTTTTTTGGCTGGGTGTGGTGGCTCATGCCTCTAATGCCAGCACTATGGGAGGCTGAGGTGGTTGTATTGCTTGAGGCCAGCAAGGGCAACATAGCAAGACCCCATCTCTACAAAATATTAAAAAATTAGCTGGGTGTGGTAGTGTACACCGGTAGTCCTAGCTACTTGGAAGGCTGAGGCAGGATTGCTTGAGCCCAGGAGTTTGAGGCTTCCGTGAGCTATGATCTTGCTGCTGTACTCCATCCTGTGTGATGGAGCCAAGAACCTGTCTGTTAAAAAAATAATAATAATTAAAAGAATACCCTTTTTCATTTCCCAACATTTTTTGGCTAGTATGATCTCTAAGTGTTCCTTCAAATAATTTCCAGTGACACCACACTTGATGTTGCAGAGCCTAAGTTTGCTGCAGAAATATAATTTCCTATACTTCATGCCAGAAGGAGATTCCGAGTGATCACTTAAACGAAAAATCTTGGTTTTTAAATGTGCTTAGACAAAAAAATCAGCAAAGGTACTCTAAACATTTAACAGCAATCATCTTTGGGGAATGGGCATTTTAGTAGGTACAGAGTGGTAGACCTCCTTATTTTACTTTCTCCACCTGAGAAATTATTTGAATTTGTTACACTAAACATGTATTTTCTAATCAAAAATAATTAAGATTTAAAACAACATATTTGGCTACTAAAAAGCAAATTATGTATGTCAGTTGAATAATTATGTTGTTAAAGAGGCTGTTTAGCACTAATGTGACCAAATCTATAGTCAAAGTTTGATTTTACTTGAATTTTTTGGAAATTTGTTATTGGCATTACTCTCTGCCTTGTTCTTTGTGAAGTCCTTTCCTAAAAAACCAAACTTATACAATCTAGTTCACAAAATTTTGTTGACCTCTTCCTCTGTAGAAGTGAAAACCAAATACATATAATTGAAAAATAATTCTGATATCTTCATTCCTATAAATTTAGACCTATAAGATTGTTGAGCTTTGCTACCAAATATAGTAACCAGTAACCACAGTTAACTGTAAAATTGAAAATTCAGTTCAGCCAAACTAGCCATATTTCAAGTGCTCAGCAGCCACTAGTGGCTATTGGCTACCATATTGACCAGCCAATATAGGCTATTTCCATCATTATAGAAAGCTCTATTGGACAGTACTGGTCTAGGACATATATTTTATATTTTCCCCTCACCCACCATCCAATAATGAGTAATAGTTCAAAGTGAAAGTGACTTAATTTGAAATTACTTCTTTTTGGCTAGTTTGCTTAGCTGATCACCACGAACATCGTAGGTCTATAAAATTTACTAAATCGCCAAACTAAGATTAGGGACATTTCATGGGAGAATCCAGACAAACTATTCATTAAAAACCACAGAGTCATGGACTGTCATGATTTCTGTTTTGATTCTTTGTGGTCATCATTGAGTATACATGGGCATCTACATACACTGGGGAGTATCTATTCTCAGGTGAGCAAAATACCAAATAACGAATGGAAACCAACTGTAGCTATTAGACTTCATATGCAATTTGATTTTTTGGTGCTGTCAAGAGTCTAGAGTCCCCTTGTTTTGGTTACAGTTTATCCCTAGGATAAATGATCCATTTAACTATTCATCAGAGGTGCTGTATTTTTTAATTGTCTCTTGTCTCCAGTTAATTTTCAGAATTAAAAACATGCCATGGGAAAAAGTTTAAAGGTTCTCTTTATTGGTGAGGCAAGGAATACTTTTGTTTTAGCCATTGAATGTTAAGCTCTAAAAACCAATCTTTAGCTATAAAGACCTGAGACAAAGCCTATATTTAAAACATAAGCTGGTTTCATCTCATTTCTAGCTCTCTTCCAAGTTCATTTTTCTTACTAAATAAAACTAGTACTTTTTGATAGGCCAAGTCCCAGGAAGGACAGACATTGTTCTTAACCATTCCAACTCTCACTGAGGGTAGAGGAGAAACCCTCTGTAGTTTCAGGTTCCCAGATCCTTTACATATATGTATATTTATTTTACTGTCCAGAGGTCATTTTTTTTTAACACCTATTATACCATGAATACATAGGGAAGAGGTTCCGGCAACTCAGTCTCCTTCCCATTGGTTCTCACAAAGTGTGCTCTTCAGGGTGGAGCAGGCTGGTGCTTCAGTTGAACCCAGGCGCTTTTTTTTTTTTTTTTTTTTTGAGACGAAGTCTTGCTCTGTCTCCAGGCTGGAGTGCAGTGGCGCAATCTCGGCTCACTGCAACCTCTGCGTCCTGGGTTCAAGCGATTCTTCTGCTTCAGCCTCCCAAGCAGCTGGAACTACAGGTGTGTGCCACCAGGCCCAGCTGATTTTTGTATTTTTAGTAGAGCCAGGGTTTAACCATGTTAGCCAGGATGGTTTCGATCTCTTGATCTCGTGATCCGCCTGCCTAGGCCTCCCAAAGTGCTGGGATTACAGGCGTGAGCCACTGCACCTGATGAACCCAGGTACCTTTCTTTTTGGCTTCTTTTTCTGATCATTTTCCTTCCTGCATTTCAGAAAGCTATCTCAGCTCTTAGAGTGCTTAATATGCACATTAATTCTCTTGGCAAGAATCTTGCCCTTGTTTACAACAATGCCAACGGCATGTAGACTCTTCCAGTTTTGCCATGGTAACACTTGTGGGGTATTCCTTTTTGAACAGTACCCATTCCCTTGATGTCTACAATATCACCTTTCTTATGGAGTCGCACATAGGTGGCCAAAGGAACAACTCCATGTTTTCTAAAAGGCCTAGAGAATATATGTTGGGTGCCTCCCCTCTTTCCCTTTGTGTTCTTCATTTTGGTGAATTACTGGAAGATGGTGGTTCCGGCTGAAGGACTATGTATCTTATATATGTATATATATATATTTAATACTTGAAATTATTGTTACAAATAGCTAGTGTCATCAAGTGCTAATTCTATAGAGCTGGCCACAAAATATATCCGACAAAAATTGGTTACTGAGCTGAATTTTATTTTACTGATACCACTTATCTTAAAATAACTCTTCTGACGTCCACTTAGAACATCTCCAAACTGGTGTCAGAACCCAATCCTCAGTACTAGTGGAGCTTGAATTCCTTTCCAGGGTCCCATGTTTTTGGCTTGGATACAGAAACTTCTAAGAGGAGCTACAAAGTGAAAATGTGAGAGCTGAAATTCTAAAAAGCCCTACAGCCAATATCTGTGCAACAATATATCAGATAACCTAGTGTTTTCCTATGTGGCTGACGATAGGAACTGAGAGTGCTATTAGAAATCAGGACAATTATAATGGCTTTCTGTGTAGATATATCATACCATGATTTTTAGAACAGAATAAGGAAGGGAAATAAATCTAAAGCAGAGTAAGAAAAGAAAAATGTTACTCCCTCTCAAAGTGTGAATGGAAGGCATGTGAATAGTTTTAGTTAATGCTGTAACAGAATACCGTACACTGGCGGTTTATCAACAATAGAAATTTATTTCTCACAATTTTGGAGGCTGGGAAGTCCAAGATCAAGGGGCTTACAGATTTGTTTTCTGGTGAGGACCCACTTCCTGGTTCGCAGATGGCTGTCTTCTCTCTCTCATGTTGCAGAAGGGGTGATGGAGCTCTCTGGGTCTCTATACATGTGCTAATCCCACTCATGAGGGCTCTTACTCTCCTGACCTATTACTTCCCAAAGCCCTACCTCCAAATACAATCACATTGGAAATGAGATATCAACATTAGAATTTTGGGGGCACACAAATATTCGTCTGTTGCAGACAAATAAGAATCTAGGGAAAATTCTAGCAAAGAATACATCTGAATTACAGAGTGAAACATAAGACTTTAAGAAAGAAGGAAGAGTGAAAATATTCTTTAGGATGAAAATGATATTTATGTACTGAAAATATATCCTTGACAGTAGTCATCGGGTTTGAAGTAAATATGGTAGCATAATCTAAAAGAATATTTCTGAAATAAAAGGAATTAATAATGTGTGGAAAAGGCATGTTCCACTCTCCCCTAGTCAAGTCATACCCCAAGTCTGCATACACTCCTTTGCTATTCCTGCCTTTAACCACTTTTAATTTCTTTTCAATGAAACCACTGAGAAAGTAGAAAACAGAAGTGGTGATAGTGAACCAGATATTAAAAAAAGTTCCAATGAAGAACTTAATAAATAACTTTTAAAAGGATATTTTTACACTCTAGCCATTATCATAGTACTTGGTAAATATGGGTATGTTGGCATCTTTTTCCTTGACCCATCAGAAGTCTTGAAAGATGTGGTCCTCCAGAGTTTCAAAGTGTTTTATTTTTTGAAGAATGAATTTCACTACTAACCTTATTTCTTTCATATTCTACTGGCTACTTTACCAATATAAATTCAGTCTTCATAAATAAAAAAATATGTTTTCATAGCTGCAAGTCTATATCCATTATTGTGAAGTTTGCTTTCAAGGAGATTTGATGTTCCATCATGAATTAAATTATCTGCTCTCAAAGTAACTTCATTTGCAAAAGGTCAGTAAAGTTCGTAGCTATTAAAATTCGAGCCACTCTGTCATGTAAATACAGTTAGATGGTGAAATTTCACCACCTTCATGGCAGTCATCAAAAACCTTTAAAAGAGAAAAAAATTATATTCAAACTAAAGTTTTAAAATATCTAAGACCCAACCACTTATCTAAAGCAAAATTTAAAGCAAAACTTTCAAATTGAAAGGGATTAGGCCTGTATTTAAGAACATACTATAATAGGGCCTGCTCTTTGTGACCATCAAGTTAGGAGAAGTTAGTGGAGATGCCTTTTACTGTGGCATTAAGATGACCATGCTCACCTGTCCACTGGGCAAAAGGCTATCAGCAGGTAACAGAGGAATACAGGAAGGGAGATCTATACATATGAATGACTTAATTTTGATTAACTGAATGTTTTATGTTTAGCTACCTTTCTGTGAAGGGTGCAAAATATAATTCCTAGTATGTTAGCCTTTTGTCTAGGGATTGAAACCAGGGCATAGAGAGCTTGGACAGATTCTGGTATAATGAAATAAAACACACACAGGCTCATGACTATAAATGCCATGAGGACTGGGACAGTATCTCTTGCCCTCTATCCTTAGTGCCTAGAGCACAGAGTTGGCATTTATAAAAGCTGGGAATGAATAAAGGAGGAGTGTTGGGACATGCTGCAGGGGAAAGACACCATCTTTGGGTTTGAACCCAGTTACTTCTAAGCTGTATGCCACTAGGTCTTCCTAAACCTAAGCTGCTTCACTTTTAAGGGAAAATAACACCATTAGCTTCAAGAATGTAAGGATTGATGAGACCACGCATGGAAATCATCAAGGATACTCTGGCCCAAGGTAGGTTCTTAACAAATCTCATTTTCTGCCCTATTTAGGTGAAATGATTAGCCCTCATCAAAAAGTGTCCATTTCAAGGCCAAGAGCAGAAAACGCAAATATCCTTAACGTCGTTATTCCAAGAAAGAATATAAAGCAGGGGGCCAGGTGTGGTGGCTCATGCCTGTAATCCCAGCACTTTGGGAGGCTGAGGCAGGCAGATCACCTGAGGTCAAGAGTTCGAGACCAGCCTGACCAACATGGTGAAACACTGTCTCCACCAAAAATACAAAAGATACGCTGGTCATAGTGGTGGGTGCCTGTAAACCCAGGTACTCGGGAGACCTGAGGTGGGAGAGTTGTCTGAACCAGGGAGGTGGAGGCTGCAGTGTGCCACTGTACTCCAGCCTGGGGGATAGAATGAGACTCTGTCTCAAAAAAAAAAAAAAAAAAAAAAAAAAGGGAATGATGTAAAGCAATGATTTGTTCATTAAAGGTCTGTTCAGCAAGGTTTCGTGGAGGTTTGAACAGCTCTTGGTCAACCGTAGGTCTGAGAAAATGGGTCTGCCTGCTCTATTTCTTAATGTGGCACTTGTACCCTGGGGCAGTCAAGTGTAAAGTAAAGCCACTTGAACTCACCGGGCAGAGACCACAGGGTGCCCGGACCAAACCCGTGGGCGGGATGATTGGATTGACTGCCCTGTACAGTTTCATGTGTCCGTCTACACTGCCAACTGTGCCTTCTTTTGCAGCAATGATTGTCATCTCCACTTTCCCATCATAAATTAGTGTATTCAGGATGGTTTCAATGTCCTCCATGGATAACTCTACCTGAAAAAGGGACACATTAGAAAGGATACAAATAGGACAGGGAGACATCCACTTGGAGGGTGTGAAAAACGGTAAAGCGTTGCCAGGTGTAGTGGCTCACGACTGTTAACCGCAACACTCTGGGAGGCCGAGGTGGCTAGATCACCTGAGGTCAGGAGTTCGAGACCAGCCAGGCCAACATGGCAAAACCCGATCTCTACCAAAAATACAAAAATTAGCTGGGCATGGTGGCGGGTGCTTGTAATCCCAGCTACTTGGGAGGCTGAGGCAGAAGAATGCCTTGAACCTGGCAGGCAGGGGTTGCAGTGAGATGAGATTGTGCCATTGCAGTCCAGCCTGGGCAACAAGAGCAAAACTCTGTCTCAAATAAACAGTAAAGGGTCACAATTCTGTTGTGAAATGTGAGAAACATTATGCTAGGCTGGGGTAATTAAAAGCACAAAGAGGAGTGACAATAGTCCAAGTTAGCACAAACCACTGAAATGCTAGGGACAGAACTCCAAGCTCATGCTGCTGTGTTTGACACGTTCCGATATTTTTACTTTCTAAGTAAAATCTAGAAGTCTCATAAAAAAGTAACATTTCTTTAGCAATAATTTGGTGGAGAATTATAAAATGCTTCAGCAAAAAGGCACTTTAGATATCAAATAGTCCAAGTTCCTAGTTTTTATAAATGAGAAATGTGAGGTCTCGGAAATTAAAATGAGATGTCCAAAATGGCCACTTTGATTTCTTCACTGTGAAAGCATTGGTGTCCTTAAAAAAAAAAAATTCAAAGGGTACAGTGGCTCATGCCTATAATCCCAGCACTTTGGGAGGCCAGTAGTTCAAAACCAGCCTAGGCAACAAAATGAGACCCTATCTCAAAAAAAAAAAAAAAAAAAAAAAAGACATCAGTGACCTTATGTATTAAGTCTTCAAAACAATGTGCTAATATTTATTTACATCTCTAAGTAAGAAAATGCCAAAAATGACACCTGATGTCATCTGACATTTTACACATATGCTGAAATATCCCTGAGAAAGTCGAGAACTTGTCAAAACAGACTTTTGAACTTGGGTGGGAAACATGCTGCCAGGCCTGTATTTTACTGCTCTATGTGCCAAGCTCAAGAACAGTTCAGTTAATGCCCGATGGCAGTGAATGCCTTTGCCTAAGGTACAGGACAGTATTTTCCCAAAGTGGATTCTGCAGAATGTTCATAGCTGTCATCTCAGAAAAACAGTCTGGGTCAAATACACATTTGGAATACATTATAATTTGTGATGAAGAGTAAGTTTTTTAAAAAAAGACGAAAGTCAGTTCTGACCTTACTAATTCCCAGTTCACAGATATATTTCCACACTTCATGTGATGAGGCAAATGAACTATTTCTTTGTATCATTGGGTTCTGTTTGCTTTCTCGTGCTGCTTCCGCCTATAAGGATTGAAATATAAGAAATCTAAACAAGAATATTGGTGTTTTCTGAATACAATTTATACTGAGTCAAACCAACAGCAGAACATATTTTGTTTAGTAAAAATTACCAATTTCAGGGTTTTAATTCTTGTAAAATATGATAAATAAGATTAAAATCCTTTATGAAAAGCTTTTTAAAAGAAAGTTTGCAGTGATGTTTCCTCAATCATACCTCACCTTGGATTGTAGAAATTTAAAACACTGTTGGTTAAGCACCTCTACAAATTCAGATTCAAAATCCTGGTCACTGTACCAGGCTCCACCAGTCACAGACCGGTCTGGCTGCAGGTTATACAGCATATACACCTTCTTTTTTGAGGCCTAGGAGAGAACATGCACAGTTCACGTGTTATAACAATTTCCAAAAATGAAAATAAAACACCTATATTGTGAAACAGTTTAACATTTACAAAATTATTGCAAAGACAGTACAGAGAGCTCCTATACACTCCATGCATTTCCCCTATTTTTAACATCTTGTATTAGTGCGGTACACTTGTCACAATTAATGAACTAATATTGATAAATCATGACTAACTAAAGGCCATTATTAACTAAAAACAGCAAAGGGTTGCTGAGTGTGGCAAATCTGAATCTTTATTAGATTTCATTAGTCTGAATGTCCTTTTTCTGCGCCAGGATTCCATCCAGGACATCATACTACATTTGGGTGTCATCTCTCTCAGGCTTCTTTTAGTTGTGACAGTTTCTCAAACACCATATTTCTATGACTATGGACTCAGGAGTATTTATTTTATACTTTGAGTTACATTCCAATACTTCATCGTTATTCTCACGTTGGAAGCTTTGGGCATTGGAAGCTTTTCATTTGGTTCCTGTATCCCTTTGACATATTCCCATTAGTGTGTGTGTGTGTGTGTGTGTGTGTGTGTGTGTGTGAGAGAGAGAGAGAGAGAGACAGAGAGTGTGTGTGTGTGTGTGTGTGTGTGTATTTTAGTAACTTTTTTTTTTTTTTGAGACAGGGTCTTGCTCTGTTGCCCAGGCTGGAGTGCAGTGGTGCAATCTCAGCTCATGGCAACCTCTACCTCCGGGGTTCAAGCGATTCTCCTGCCCCAGCCTCCCGAGTAGCTGGGGTCCCAGGCACGTGCCGCCACAGCCAATTTTTGTAGCTTTAGTAGAGTTGGGATTTCACCATGTTAGCCAGGCTGGTCTTGAACTCCTGACCTCAGGTTATCCATTTGCCTTGGCTTCCCAAAGTGCTGGGATTACAGTCATGAGCCACCATGCCTGCCTATTTTAGCACCTTCTTACTTTCCAGCACTACAAGATGTCAGGAACATTTTCTGTATGTTCATTTTATTGCAGGACAGTATTAGAAACCAAGACTTGGGCACTAGACATGTTCACTGCCATCGAGATGCCATCAGTTCTAGGCCTTCTCAGTCGGCAGCACAAGCTTTATGTATGCAAATTAACCCCTGTATATATACACATCAATACTCATTTCTAAATGTAACCATCTTTAGATTTATATTAAATTACACAAGAGTCCGTACTGATGTTTTCAAGTCTCATCCATTGCTACATGGATCACTCTAACTTCCCTTGTTTATCTGCAACTGCCCACTCCAACAGAGAGGAACCCAAATTTCACTGGGTGTTTAATGAAGAATCTGAGCCAAGCATGGTGGCTCACACCTGTAATCCCAGCACCCTGGGAGGCTGAAGTGGGCAGATGTTTGAGTCTAGGATTTCAAGACAGGCCTAGGTAACATGGTAAAACCCTGTCTCTACAAAAATACAAAAATTAGGCCAGGTGTGGTGGCTCATGCCTGTAATCTGAGCACTTTGGGAGGCTGAGGTGGGAAGATCACAAGGTCAGGAATTCGAGACCAGCCTGTCCAAAATGGAGAAATCCAGTCTCTACTAAAAATACAAAATTAGCTGAGTATGGCGGCACATGCCTGTAATCCCAGTTACTCAAGAGGCCGAAGCAGGAGAATTGCTTCGAGCCAAGGGGTGGAGGTTGTGGTGAGCCAAGATCGTGCCACTGCGCTCTAGTCTGGGCGACAGAGCAAGACTCCATCTCAAAAAAAAAAAAAAAAAAAAAAAAAAAAAAAAAATTAGCTGGGCATGGCGGCATGTGCCTATAGTCTCAGCTATTTGGGAGGCTGTGGTGGGAGGATGGCTTGAGGCCAGGAGGTTGATGCTGCAGTGAGCCATGATCATCCCACTGCACTCCAGCCTAGGTGACAGAGCCAGACCATGTCTAAAAAAAAAAAAAATTGGGCCGGGCGCGGTGGCTCACGCCTGTAATCCCAGCACTTTGGGAGGCCGAGGCGGGTGGATCACGAGGTCAAGAGATCGAGACCATCCTGGTCAACATGGTGAAACCCCGTCTCTACTAAAAATACAAAAAATTAGCTGGGCATGGTGGCGCGTGCCTGTAATCCCAGCTACTCAGGAGGCTGAGGCAGGAGAATTGCCTGAACCCAGGAGGCGGAGGCTGCGGTGAGCCGAGATCGCGCCATTGCACTCCAGCCTGGGTAACTAGAGCGAAACTCCGTCTCAAAAAAAAAAAAAAAAAATTGGCTAGACTTTGTCCCTTTTTCCTGGGAAGTAACTTCCACATCTTTGGAATTTCCCAACGGCCTTGTTATTCATGGTGAATCCCTTAGATCACACCTGGGTTTATGCTAACAAGATGACTCCTGAAAAGACCCTATATAGTTTCAGGATAGGAGTTGTCCATGCTGGGAAGACCAACCACATGATTAGAGGGTTGCAGCTTTGGGCCATGTGACATCCGTCCAATCTCTTGGAAGGGGAGAGGAGCTGGAGATTGAATTCACTCACAAGACCAAAGATTAAATTAATCATGCCTGTGTAATGAAACCCTAATAAAAACTTTGGACACCAAAGCTTGGGTAGGCTTCCAAATTTGATTCTGTCATACAGAACAGTTTACCCTAAAAATATTTCTCATGATTCACCTATTCAATTTTCCCTACCATCCCAGCTCTCACCCCTGATCTTTTTAGTCTGTATAGTTTTGCCTTTTCCAGTATGTCATGTAGTTGGAATTATACAGTATGCAGCCTTTTTGGACTGGCTTCTTTTACATAGCAATACGCATGTAAGATTTACTCATATCTTTTCATGATAGCTTATTTCTTTTTATAACTGAATAATATTCTGGTTTGTTTATCCATTCACCTATTGAAGGACACCTTGATTGCTTCCAGTTTTTGATTATGAATAAAGCTGCTATAAATATTCATGTGGTTATGTGGACATAAGTTTTCAAATCAGTTGGGTAAATACCTAAGAGCATGTGGTAAGACTCTGTTTAGTTTTGTAAAAAACTACCCAACTTTTGCCAGGTGTGGTGGCTTATGCTTGTAATCCCAGCACTTTGGGAGGCCGAGGCGGGAGGATCACGAGGTCAGGAGATGGAGATGGAGATCCTGGCCAATATGGTGAAACCCCGTCTCTACTAAAAATACAAAAATTAACTGGGCGTGGTGGCGCACGCTTCTAGTCCCAGCTACTTCGGAGGCTGAAGCAGGAGAATCACTTGAACCAGGGAGACGGAAGTTGCAGTGAGCCAAGTTTTTCCACTGTACTCCAGCCTGGGCAACACAGGAGACTCCGTCTCAAAAAAACAAGAACAGGGGCCGGGCGCGGTGGCTCACGCCTGTAATCCCAGCACTTTGGGAGGCCGAGGCGGGTGGATCACGAGGTCAAGAGATCGAGACCATCCTGGTCAACATGGTGAAACCCCGTCTCTACTAAAAATACAAAAAATTAGCTGGGCATGGTGGTGCGTGCCTGTAATCCCAGCTACTCCGGAGGCTGAGGCAGGAGAATTGCCTGAACCCAGGAGGCGGAGGTTGCGATGAGCCGAGATCGCGCCATTGCACTCTAGCCTGGGTAATAAGAGCGAAACTTGGTCTCAAAAAAAAAAAAAAAAAAAAAAAAAAAACAACAAGAACAAAAATACCTACCCAACTTTTTTACAAAGGGGCTGTACCATGTTGCATTCTTCGCAATGTATGAGTGTTCCTATTGGTCTGTATCTTGTCAGCATGTGGTATTACCAATTTTTAGATTTTAGCTATTCTAATAGGTGTGTAGTGGTATCTCACTACACTAAATTGCATTTTAATTTGCAATTCTCTAATGAAAAATAACGTAAGGCATCTTTTCATATGCTTATCTGCCATCTGTTTATCTTCTTTGGTGAAGTTCAGATCTTTTGCTCATTTTTTTTTTTTTTTTTGAGATGGAGTTTTGCTTTTGTTGACCAGGCTGGAGTACAATGGTGCAATCTTGGCTCGTTGCAACGTCTGCCTCCCGGGTTCAGATGATTCTCCTGCCTCAGCTTCCCAAGTAGCTGGGATTACAGACATGTGCCACCATGCCGGCCTGGTTTTGCATTTTTAGTAGAGACAGGGTTTCACCATGTTGGTAAGGCTCGTCTTAAACTCCTGACTTCAGGTGATCCACCTGCCTCGGTGTTCCAAAGTGTTGTTTTCTTATTGTTGAATTTTAGGAGTTCTTTGCATATTTTGGAGACAAGCCCTTTATCAAATATGTAATTTGCAAATATCTCGTAGTATGTAACTTGTCTTTTCATTCTCTTAACAGTGTCTTGCAAAGCAGAGGTTTTCAAAAATTTTGTAAACTCCAACTTACCAACTTTTTCTTTCACAGACTACTGTTGGAGTTGTAGTCCAACAATTCATTAACAAAGCCAAGGTCATGTAGATTTTCTATGTTTTCTTTAAAAAGTTTTAAGTTTTGTACTTTACATTTAGATCTAACTAAGATTATTTTAACTCTTAAAAAGACATGGAAGTTCACCAACGGATGAATGAACGAAATATTATATACATCTGTACAATAGAATTTTAATTGGCAATAAAAGGGGCCGGGCATGGTGTCTCATGCCTGTAATCCCAGCACTTTGGGAGGCCGAGGCGGGCAGATCATGAGGTCAAGAGATTGAGACTATCTTGGCCAACATGGTGAAACCCAAAGGAATGAAGTACAATATGGATAAACCTTGAAAACGTCATGCTAAGTAAAAGTAGTAATACCCAAAAGACTACATATTGTATTATTCCACTTATAGGAACTGTCCAGAATAGACAAAATCTATAAAGGCAGAAAATAAATTAGTGGTTGTTAGGGCCTGTGGAAAGAGAGGCTGGGAAACAAATACTAGTGCCCACATTTTGGGGTGATGAAAATGTTCTAAAATTAGGACAGCTGTGAGGGTCGCAACAACTCTTACAGTAAAAACCAGTGACTGCAGGCCGGGCGCGGTGGCTCAAGCCTGTAATCCCAGCACTTTGGGAGGCCGAGGCGGGTGGATCACGAGGTCAAGAGATCGAGACCATCCTGGTCAACATGGTGAAACCCCGTCTCTACTAAAACTACAAAAAATTAGCTGGGCATGGTGGTGCGTGCCTGTAATCCCAGCTACTGAGGAGGTTGAGGCAGGAGAATTGCCTGAACCCAGGAGGCGGAGGTTGCGGTGAGCCGAGATCGCGCCATTGCACTCCAGCCTGGGTAACAAGAGCGAAACTCCGTCTCAAAAAAAAAAAAAAAAAAAAAACCAGTGACTGCAAATCCAGAGATTTTACACTCTAAAAGGATGAATTCTGTAGTGTGAATGATAAATTATATTTCAGCAAAGCTGTTATTTAAACATAAAGATGTAGAAGGTAGACTGGCAAAATGAGGCTACGTGATGGATACATGGGGATTCATTATATTATTTTTTCTACCTTTGTATATATTTGAAATTATCCATTAAACAATGTGGAAGGGAAATGCTATTCTAAATGAGAGAAGTGGTACGGCATAAATATCATTTGATAAAGAAAATCACTAATGAGCATCAAATTCTTATAATTGATGTTATACTCTTATAATTCTTGTTTTATTCAAAATTAAAAACTTGAAGTAACATATGTAAGTGGATATTTGAGGAAAGATCTACTTAGTGCCACAGACTTAACAGCTTTGAAATGATAAAATTTGAATTATAGCTTTAATCCATTTTTCTTTGTTTTTAAAGACTCAATCTTGCTCTTGTCTGCCAGGCTGGAGTGCAGTGGTGTGATCTCAGCTCACTGCACTTGCCTCTGGGGTTCAAGCAATTCTCCTGCCTCAGCGTTCCCAATAGCTGGGATTACAGGCGCCTGCCACCATGCCTGGCTAATTTTTGTATTTTTAGTAGAGATGGGGTTTCACCATGTTGGCCAGGCTGGTCTTGAACTCCTGACCTCAGGGGATCTGCCTGCCTCAGCCTCCCAAAATGCTGGGATTACAGGCATGAGCCAGAGTGCCTGGCCTATAGCTTTAATTCTTGTGAAATGTGCACTGAAGCAGACTTTATTCTAGGGGAATCTCAGTTCCTGGGATGTGTACATCAGTGAGGTTAGGGGCAGATGTCCCTCAGAAAGCCAGCTCTGAAGCAGAGGTGGGACAGGATGAGCAGGAGGAAAAACACACGTGTACTGGCAGAGAAGCTCCACCAAGGCAGGGATCTTTCTATGACTTGTTCATTAATGTATCCCAAGCACTCAGTACAGTGCCTGGCACACAGCAAACAGTTTGTTGAATGAGAAAGCTAATATGTCAGGATAAAGTAAATTATCTTACACATCACAAAATCTGGGAAAAATGTTCACAGTTCCAAAGATTCTTCACTGAAGACAGTAAAATAGTTTTAGATTTTTGAGTGGGTGAGAAATCAAGAACTGTGCAGGGACAAGTCTAAGCAGTATCTCCAAACCAATTTAATCTCGTCTTAAATTTTTAAGTCTTTTTTGACCAGCTGTTCTAAATCATGACATAACTTCAAGAATAAAAACTTGAAGCAACATATGTAAGTGGATATTTGAGGAAAGGATTACTCACAGCTACAGACTTCACAGCTTTTATAAGCTTTTTACTTTCCAAATTCTTCAGAATTTTGTTGATTTCTGTTAATGGCAAGTTACTTTTATAACGGATATCTCTGCTCCATATTCCTATGAGAAAGTAAAGTAAAACAAGTTGAACTATATAGTTTTCATGGATTTTTCTTTTTTTTTAAGAGACAGGGTCTTGCTCTGTTGCCCAGGCTGGAGGGCAGTGGCTATTCACAGGCACAATCCCACTACTGATCAACACGGAGTTTTTTTGACTTGCTCCGTTTCCAGCCTCAGCCAGTTCACCCCTCCTTAGGCAACCTGGTGGTCCCCCACTCCCAGGAGGTCACTGTATTGATGCCGAACTTAGTGTGGACACCCGATTGGCATAGTGCACTACAGCCCAGAACTCATGAGCTCAAGCAATCCTCCCACCTCAGCCTCCCAGTAGCTGGGACTACAGGCATGTGCCACTGTGCCCAGCGGTTTTCATGGATTTTTAATTTTATTCCTCTTAACTTCTACCTCATTCCAAAGCTAACAGTATAAAGCTAACAGTAAAAATGAAATGACTTAGAGGTAAGAACTTTGGCTAAAATAGCAAAAATATGCTAAACAATAAATAAGTCTAATGCTTTATAAGACTTATTATAATGATTTATAATTTCAAACTAGAAATTTCTTGGAATCCCAGTGTGGGACATTTTTAAAAAATTTATGAAAAGGGCTGGGGACAGTGGCTTATGCCTATAATACCAGCACTTTAAGAGGCTGAGGCAGGTGGATCACCTGGGAGTTCGAGACCAGCCTGGCCAACATGATGAAACCTCATCTCTACTAAAAATACAAAAAAA